TAGTTTATTCCATGTAAGAGTGTCAATGAATCATGTCTCGTTTTTAACTCTTATTGTGTTAAAATTTAATTAATCAATCGACATTGTTATCTAATATATAATCAAAATTTAATATTAATTAATTACTGTAGTAAATCTAAAATCACTAAGTATATTGTTATATGCAAACTAACAAATATAATATAATGTGTAAACAAAGAAGAAATGCAATTACAGGGACACAGAACAATAATAATAATAATTTCATAAATAAGACTCTAAGCCCTTTGTAATCACAATTTCTTTTAGACAGATTTGTTCCTTTTCGATGCTCAAAGTTAATGTACAACTGTCTTCCAAGATATAATGGATTTCGCATTTACAAAAGTAGCATTTCAATCTGCAAAGACCAATGAACACAACTTGTATTTTGTACTTGAATTGAACAGAAAATGTAATGCAGCAAGCGAGAGAATAGATGCAACAGTGTGTAGAAGACTTTATGTCTGTTTTTTCATATTTGAATATGGTTGTAAGACAGTCCTTTAATAGACACTTAATATATGTTTAGATTGTCTGAAGAGGCATGAGACACCATTGTTCTTTGAATAGACACACTATTAAACAAACATAAGAGTGAGATTCAACTTTAATTGACAATAAGCTAAATTTCAGTTGAAAGACTAGTTGCGATCATGTTCGGATCTGTTTGGTTTGACCCATAACTTGCACTGCACCAAATAATTTTTTTGCAAAAGATAATAATTTTTTGACCCAAGGGCCAAGTCGAGCCAGGTCGTGGAGACGGACAACGCGTGTGGTAATTAAACTTGTGTAGGTGCTTGCCTCGTTCACAAGAGTGTGGTATCACTTGGGGCCCAACTCAGGCAACCAACTAAGAGTATATTAACTCAACTAATTTTTGGTTTGTTTCTAATGTGGAACAAGCCTTATACATTACACTTCATTAAATTTAGTTCATTCCATCCATTCAAGTGGGTTATTTTAAGATATAATTTTTTATTCAATACTTAATATTTTTGAACAAATAAATATATCACGATAATTTTATTGCGGAGAAGAACACGTTTAAACTTGGTCCCACCACTTTCGAGGTGTATGTCTCACTTTTATTTGAGCCCAAAATTACTCAAAAATAACTTGTCAAAACTAATTTTTTCGATCCACATATCTATACTATTAATAAAAGTATCTTAGATGAAAAATTTTTGATTACCATTTTTACCCTTAAACAATCCTAAAAAGTCATCCTTGCTATCCTCATCCTTCCTGCTATAATGGAACTGGAACTAGCAATTAGAAAGAAAATAAATAATAAATTGTTAGACCTTACAAATTCTAACAATACATATTAATTTACAGTAGTCTACTATTGGAAGTGGAATCATTTCCTATATCTGTACTATTAATACTCGTGTTTGTATTTTGTTACCATTCAAGAATTCAACAAAAATAAGTTATTTTAGCTACAATAAATTTGCTTTTTTCCGTGCAAATATTGACTGAAGTTGTTCATTGAGGGCACATAATTTTTCTCTCATATAGTGCCGTTTTCTTTAGTTCTCCAGCCATGGAAGCCCTAATCATCTTTTGACCAAACCATTAAAAGACCTATCATCAAGAAGTCTGCTCTCCAATAATTGCTACTAAAAGCTACAATGAAGTGTGGGTATATCAGCTAGAGATGTTCCACTTGGAGATATACTTTCTGGTTAGAATCAGATATCCATAAATAAATTTTTGATACCATATATATATATTTTTTTTATAAAATCATGTTGAAAGTTATGCTATTTTATTATATTATTTTAGTGATTAATAGTTACAAATAACTCCAAATGTACAACCTAAAGATAACATAGTGTTGTCTTAGACTTTCTAAGTGCCAAACACTAATGCCTGGATATTCTAAGCAACCATATGCAAAGCTAATCGGGAAAATTATCACTATTTAGTTTTATGGATTTTGGGGTGGGTTTTCTTTTCTTTGTTTGATTCTTTATTTTGAGTAACAAATCATGAATGAATCCTTCACATGATAGGTTTTCCTATCTTGCTTAATGAGATATGTTCTTTACCTTTTATTTTAATTAGAGTTGGAATATATGGGGTTGAATGAATCTTGTGTTTGTTGCTTATAAATTTTTTTTCCATTTTTTTATGCAGTTGAAATTAGACCATGAAAGAAAAGTTTTAGAAACATCTAACAATAAATTGAAATCCTTATATTGGTTATTCTTTATTTGGACACTTCGTGACAATCTCTAGATAATGGAGGATTCACTATGTCATGGGAAATTGGATTTATGATTTGCAAATTTTGATAAAACTAGGTGAATTGATGAGAAAACTATTCGAAGATCAAGACTACTTTTAATTATACATATTCGTAGCTGTATTTATTCTCCCCGAAGGTTTAATCACCTATCCCTTCACGCTACCGCCACAACCAAGATTTTGTGTCTATAAATTGTAAGTCATCTCCATAAGAGGGGCATCTCCCTACACACCCTTAACAAAGCTATTTCTCTCATAGCTATCCAACATCTCTTAGAGCTTATCTTTGTTCTTTCTCTCATCTTACTTTATCAATAAAAGTCTCCGGCTACTGTTGTCGTCTTCAGAAATGGAGTAGATCACCTTGACCGAACCACTATACTTATGTGTGTTGACCTAATCTTTACCTTATGTTGTTAATTGCTTTATTGATTACTTCATTAATTACTTAGAATCGTACACTCGACTATTGATTGTGCATAAATTCACTTTTGTGCATCATCAATAGGTACTTAAAAGGTGGGGTGGGAATTAAGGAGAAGACAATTTTCTTGGAAGGAAAATGCTGAGAAATTGGTTTAGACTATGTTTGATAGACTTATTAGTCATATGGACTTTTGGAACTAAATGTCCATTCTCCAACCAAACAGTTTTTTTCTCCGACGAGAACCAAACTTTGGAAAGTTCATTTTAAGGAAGCTAGGTGGGAGGATAGCATTTCAAAAAAAGGGAAATATTACATAAATTTAAAAAATAGATTTAAAAATTAAACTTAATAATCACAATTATTGGATATGTAGTAGGTCTCAATAAATATTAGGACTTATAGTAAAATCAATGGTTGCAATTATCAAGTCTACTTTTTAAGTACATGTAGCATTACTCTTACAAAAATGACTAGCCTAATTTTATCCAAGCGTAATATAAGTATTAAAGTATAAATAGTTGATGATGTAATCATTTTTTTGACATTGCCAATAACGATGATAACCACAGGGATACTTTGTGAAATGGGTAGGTAAATAGTAAAGGATGTCGGTGTAATTTCAAAAAATTGAGGGGTGTCTCTGTAATTAGACGAATGTACAGGGATGTCAGTGTAATTTATCCTAAACTTTATAAGTTGTACTAAGATTTTTTTTTTTATAAAAATAAATATCGTAGTGTATTTCTAAGTAAAACTTGAATTCTTTAGAATTTTAAGATATTTGATAATATAAATTATAGAATAGTATATTAAATCTTATTCCAATTAACCTAATTTATTTTTAATTGCAATAAGGTTCAAATGTGATTAGTATATTAACAATTACTTTTATTTTATTCAATGAATTACAATTGAAATCCTAATTAAATGAATTTAAAGAAATTTAATTTCTCAAACATCACTAAAAAAATCAATCTTTATCAAAAAATTCTAAAAATATAGGACTATAACTATTTTTATTTTTATTTTTTTATAGTTAGATCAAAGAATTTTGGGAATATATAAAATTTTCATAATCTTATGATAGAATATAAGTAATAAAAAATTAAAATTTGTAAATTTGAGATGATATTTAGTTCAGATACATATATACCTAATATATTTTATTAATTTTTGTGTACGAAAATTATTCACGTGTAACGCACGTAATGCATTTCTAGTAATTATATAACTAAATTCATGTAAAATATTCATTAGGTTTAGCCTGTTTGTATCAACTTAGTTATTTAATAGATCTAATTGTCATTCATTAGGACCAAATTCATACGCTGTAGTTTTATATTACTATCATATTGAACTACCAAGTCGTGTTCTGAATTGTCAATCTTTGAATGGGCTTTGAGTGACATGTTATAAAACGTATATATAAATATATATTCGAAGATGAACATTGGGAGCTTGACTAGTTGTCCACGCAAATTTGAATGGGTGAGTGTTTACGTGTTGAAGTCAAAAACTCGTTCCCCTGTTTCTTCGAACTCAAACCATAAAAACTAAAAAGGAAGAAAAGTCAATGACTACGTTTGAGACCAATTACGTTATTATCTTTTTTTCTTTAGCAGAACTACACAAATGCCATTAATGTTGATAATATGAGTCGTGTACTGTTGAGTTTTTTAATATTTTTAAGTTTTAAGAGGGTAAAATTTACTAACTCTATACCCAATAAAATTCAGAGTTGTGCCGTGTCGAATTCGTATTATGTATTAACTATATAAATTGTGTTTAACAGTTTCGTATTATATTTATCTAAGATTTGCATGGACCTATTTTTATAACGAGTCAAACAAGTTTATCGGTTTATCATCCAACTCACTAGATTTAAATTCAAATTTATTAATTTTGTATCGATTTCGTATCAAATATACAGGTTATGTCCGGAATAGACACGTCGATTTACGAGATCAAAACTCTCTTTTGACCATACATGCTTACGGATTTACACCGAGCCCAAGGGGAATGAATGATAGTCATAATTTTTTCAGCAATGGCAATTTGGAAAATTTCCAAAGAATGGTGACTGTTTTACAACTTCAGGTTGTTTCGTTCCCTCTCAGCCTAGGAAGAGGTCAAAATTCTATGCTGAAATTTGGAAGTTGAAACTGTCCCTTCAACTTTAACCTGCTCATAACCCTATAAATACTCTCTCAACCTTAACATTCAGTTACCAAAATCAATCAATCTCTCTCTCTCTCTCTCTCTCTCTCTCTCTCTCTCTCAAACTGCCTGGGTTCAAATGGCCACCATGAAAGCAATCCATCCTCACCTCACATCCATAACCCTTGCCAGCACCAATAAACTTCCCAAAATCCAGGCCAATCAGGAAACTGCAATCAATATTCGCCCACATCGAAAAACTTCTAACCCGGCCAATCGCCTAGCTGAATCACTTTCTCACCTCCTACATCTCCATGTTGGAGAACCAACCCAAAAAAGCCTTCAATATAGCACTAATTGGAATGCTCACGTTGAGGAGAAGCACAACACTCCAGTTATGTCTCCTAAGGAAGACATATCAGAGAAATGGCCCGAAATCCACGGTTCTTATGAGTGGGACAATCTTCTTGATCCACTACACCCGTGGCTTCGACAGGAGATTGTGAAATATGGAGAGTTTGCGCAAGCAACATATGATGCCTTTGATTTTGATTCGTTCTCAGANAGGAGAAGCACAACACTCCAGTTATGTCTCCTAAGGAAGACATATCAGAGAAATGGACCGAAATCCACGGTTCTTATGAGTGGGACAATCTTCTTGATCCACTACACCCGTGGCTTCGACAGGAGATTGTGAAATATGGAGAGTTTGCGCAAGCAACATATGATGCCTTTGATTTTGATTCGTTCTCAGAGTATTGTGGCAGTTGTAAATACAATCGTCATAGGCTTTTCGATAAATTAGGCCTTGATAAGCATGGCTACAATGTGACTAAGTATATTTATGCTATGTCACACATAAATTTGCCTCGATGGTTTGAGAGGTCTCACTTAGGGGAGACATGGAGCAAGGACTCAAATTCGATGGGATTTGTAGCAGTGAGTGATGATGAAGAGTCAAGTCGAATTGGGCGAAGAGATATAGTTGTGGCATGGCGTGGCACTGTGGCACCATCGGAGTGGTATGAAGATTTTCAGAGGGAATTAGAGCCTATTGGGCATGGGGAAGCAAAAGTGGAACATGGGTTTCTTAGTCTTTACAAGTCCAAAAGTGAATCAACTAGATACAATAAGTGTAGTGCCTCGGAGCAAGTCATGAGAGAAGTGAAGAGGCTGTTGCAATTCTACAAAGCAAGAGGTGAAGAGGTGAGTCTCACAATCACTGGACATAGCCTAGGTGGTGCATTGGCGCTCGTAAATGCTTATGAGGCTGCTACTTCTCTCCCCGGCCTTCATGTCAACGTTATTTCGTTTGGTGCACCTAGAGTTGGGAACATAGCTTTTCGAGATGAGTTACATCAAATGGGTGTGAAAACACTACGTGTTGTAGTAAAGCAAGATTTAGTCCCTCGGATGCCTGGGTTCATCTTCAATGAAAGCTTACAAAGGTTTGATGACATAACCGGAACCCTAGATTGGGTTTACACACATGTTGGAGCCGAATTGAAGCTTGATGTGAGATCTTCTCCCTATCTTAAACACAGATTCAATGTGTTAGGATTTCATATGTTAGAGACTTACCTTCATCTCGTTGACGGGTTCCATAGCACAGCCTCAACAATTAGGTCTGATGCGAAAAGGGATATTGTTTTGGTGAACAAAGCATGTAATATGCTTGTGGATGAACTAAGAATTCCTCATAGTTGGTACCAAGAGGCCAACAAGGGACTAGTTTGCAATGCTCATGGTAGGTGGGTTAAGCCTAAGAGGGACTCAGAGGACATACCTTCACCAACTAGTGAAGAACATGATCATGTGCTTGGGATGATGCACGAAAATTATGGAGAACTTGAACCCTTGTTATGTGTATAGACCACAGCATTTTGTAAGTCAGAAGCTCAATGATGTAATTTAGTGATAAAACTTCACCAAAATTAGCATATGTAAAGGTAGATTAATAGGACAAAAAAATCTTCATGTAAATTATTAAATTCGATTTTGTTTTAGAGTGGAAGTAACAATGTCTGAAGGAGGTTCAGAGGCATGCACAGACCATGTTAACTGCATTCTGATTTTAGAGAACATGGGGTCCTTCTTCGTCATACGAAAATAATTGAATCCTCAAAAATTCACAAAAATTTAAATCCGATTTGTGTAGAATAAGCTATACTTCGGGCAAACTATTATAATTCCGTATCTCTAGGTTATAAGTATCAAACAATTATTGGGTCCATTTGATAAACAAACGAGCTTTTATTCAAACCGATCCAGAACTATTTATGAACAACTCAATTCATTGCGGGATGCCACGAGGGGTATGGCTATGGTTGAGAAGAATTACAACAAACAATTATCAAGTAAATAAATTTAGACGTTCTGAGTTTGAATTTTGACAATCATTTGAGATCAGGTCATAAGGAATTTATTCCTCGTGAATACTCTAATCCCCACATAGATGACCTACCTTTGACTAAACCGCAGAGATAATTAGTCAAAATATACGTAAATTGACCCGAATACCTGACTGTTAAACAAATAAAGATTATCAAGCAGGTGCCGTCAATTAGGCTCCTGACTGTCCATTGAAAGTAGGAAGAGAGGGATGTCGAAAGTCCAGAAACCCACACCAATCCTTAACTGGTGGGATAGATTTGTTCACAGCACCTTAATGGACCCTCCTCACGTGTCCCTAATTAGCATTATGAGTAGTGCTATAGGGACCACAGACCTAATCCAAGACTGAATGCCAAAGTCGAACGGAACCATCTTTAATCCAACAGTTATAATTAAGTTGATTCCAAAATTAAGTACCCAAATTAGTAACAAATAACATCTGTCTACAAGTACGTATTCATTGATATGACAAAGCAATTTTGAAAAGTTATTTGTATCTCTTTAACATCTACAAGAAGTACTAACATAACATCTTGAGAGATTTGGAAGCTCGAAACTGTCACAAACAATTGTAAATAACAAATCTCCCATTATTTATTGATTGTGGAAAACAACTAGTAGTAAGTTCATGGAGGCGGGGATATAAGTACATGTAGAATGGATCACTTATATAACTCGAGAGTAAAATCTCGAGCTAAATACATAAAAATTATAGAACCAAAAAAAACAAATGTGAGGGAGAGAGGATTAATCAAATAATTCCCAAGCAGCCATAGTCGGAGGAGGATCAAAGGTTTCCCACCTGGTTGTAACAATAACAGGCTTTACTTTTGTGTTCGATATCTTGAGCACATCAAGGGTTTCGACACACTTCTGCACTCTCTTTCCCTGCATAAACAACCGTTAAGATTAGCTTCAACAGGATCGAGTAAAAATGGTATTATCAAGTAGCAAGATAGGGGAGAGCTTCCAGCCTTCCAATTGTTACGACGATCATTTCTACAAGTAGATTTTTAGCCTTCAGTTAGTTGTAGATATGCTAAGGACTAATGTATTTGCCAACAGTCAACCCGTCCAATACACAAAAACTATTGATTCTCAAGCCCTGCTATTGTCCGCTACATTTATCAATATGCACATAATTATATGTAAAACACTTGAATTCGACTAAACCGGACAAAGTCAAACTTGAGACTCCAAGGTGAATAACCCGAGGTCTTCTCATCGGGTTATAAAATAATCCAGTTATAAAACAACATAACAGGCAAACATAATGTTAACTACACCAACAACAACATCATTTTACGTAGTTAATACCAAAATTACGTTATTTCAATCAACATCACCTATGTTGTAACAGCAGCTAGAGGATCCTAAGTCATGGTAAGAACATGAGAAGATACCTGCAGATTTTTCTGAGCACATGAATCTCCTTCTGTGGAAATGCTACTTAGCTTGACAGCTTGTCTCATTAACATCTCGATCAATGTGGTGATCTGTACTTCTGCTACTTTATTACCCTCTCCAATAGACTTTTCAATGGAAGAAACCTATAGTTAAGTAAGAGTCAATCTCTCCATTTAATAGGGGAAAAAAAAAAAGGGAATAATGAACGTAAGCATGCAGTAAGATGAGGTTAATTAGTCTTAACGAGTTTGAATTATGATCGGGTTAACGAAATCAACCGATTTAATCAATGAACCAACACCAAATTACTTGAATTTTTTTTAATTATTTTATTTTCAGTCTAATATTGTCTTTTGAAATTGATAGGATCCCAATCCTTATTTTGAACCAACCACAAATAACTCTTGAGCCATCTCTAATTTTAACTAAAATTTTAGTAAAAAATTTGATTTGATACAATTCACTACAATAGACAAACTTAAATTTAAAGAACAAACTCAAGTTTAAAATAGAGTAAAATCTGATTATTAGATTTTTAATGAAGGGTAAAATCTGACTGTTAGAGATTTGAGTAAAATTTTAGGAGTGGATTACGATACCAAACAAAAAAATTTGGTATAGTACCTCCACATCTTACAAGTTTTTAAGATTTTTTATGATAGAAAAAATTTACACCTTATACTCTCAAAAGTTATAAATGACCCTAAAAAATTGTAGAAATAAACAAAATTTGTAATGACCTTTTTTTCGTACCGTAGATTTTTCCAAGTTTTGAGTCCCCTTGATTTAAGTTAAAAATTGAATCTTCCTTTATTTAATATGAGATTGAATAAATAATTGAAAATTATATTTTCCCTTTTTTTTCAATTTTTAAATTTGATTCAAGATTTAAGTATGAATTAGATATGCTACTAAAAGTTTAACCATTGCTGACTTCAATAAACCTATTCGATACTCTCAAATAGATCAACCAACGATCGCTAACATTCCTCTAAAAAAATATTCAAATTGCATCGTCCCTTCAGACACGAGTTATCCTGAGTAATTAACCCAAAAAAAAAAGGAAGAATTACACCCAAACCCCCTGAGATTTGTCACTTAATCACTCAGACCCACTGACATTTGAAATATTATACACAGACCTCCTGAAATTTATACGCGCGTAACNATAGTCCGAGGAGGATCAAAGGTTTCCCACCTGGTTGTGACAATAACAGGCTTTACTTTTGTGTTCGATATCTTGAGCACATCAAGGGTTTTGACACACTTCTGCACTCTCTTTCCCTGCATAAACAACAGTTAAGATTAGCTTCAACAGGATCGAGTAAAAATGGTATTTTCAAGTAGCAAGATAGGGGAGAGCTTCCAGCCTTCCAATTGTTACGACGATCATTTCNCCCAAAAAAAAGGAAGAATTACACCCAAACCCCCTGAGATTTGTCACTTAATCACTCAGACCCACTGACATTTGAAATATTATACACAGACCTCCTGAAATTTATACGCGCGTAACACTTAAACTCCTAATATAAATATATCATTTAATAAATTATACTTAGACCCCTCTAAAGTTTATAAGTATATAATACTTAGACCCCTTGAGTTTAAAATATTATATTTAGACCAAAAATATTTCAACCAAATATAGAATATTAAATATTTTAAATTTTACAACGAAAGTTCATATTCTATTGTATCATTTATTGAAATAAAATTAAAATTAAAATTTTAATTTTTTCTTAAAAAATCTTAATTAGTATATAATTATACTATCTATTGAAATAAAACTGAAAAATCAAACAAGAGATCTAAGTCATTCATAATAGAACATCAATTTTACATCTAAAATTCATGTTCTATTATTTCATTTATTGAAATAAAATCAAAAATAAAAGTCTAGTTTAAAAAAAAAAAACATAGTTAGTATAAAATTATACTATCTATTAGAATAAAACTAAAAAATTAAACAAGGAGTCAAATTGTAACGGACATAATATCTTTTAGCTTTGATTGGGGAGTTTGATATTTAATTTAGTTGTTTAAACGACCAAATTAAATTCTAATATACAATATAATTGTAAACTAATTATGATTTTTTAAGAAAAAAATTGAATTTTTATTTTTGATTTTATTTTAATAAATGATACAATTTTCATGAATTTTATTTGTAAAATTTAAAATATTTAATATTTTATCCTTGATTGGAATATTTTTTGTCTAAGTATAATATTTTAAACTTAAAGAGTCAAATTATTTTATACTTACAAATTTTAAGGAGTCTAACTATAATTTATTAAATGATAGATTTATATTAGGGTGTAAGTGTTACGTGCGTACAAAGTACAGGGGATTTGTGTGTAATATTTTAAATGTCAGAGGATTTGAGTGATTAAATGACAAATCTCAGGGGGCCTAGGTGTAATTCTCCCAAAAAAAAAAATATGATGAGCTCTGCTTACCTGCTCTGCTAAGTTATCAACCTCCATGGAGACGTCCTTGATCAGGCGTTGTGCGGTTTGGATCTTTGCATCTTTTCGCATCTGAATGAATTTCTTCTCTCTGCTTTGCGGGTCCTCGATTAGTATGACTTTTGATCTGTCTTTGACTCCACACATGTCCAAATATTCCCCATTTTGTCTCTCCTTCCCTCTGAATAATAGCCTCTGTTCACCCGGTTGTAACCCTGTCTCCTCTGTCACAAGCTTCTTCAACTCACCTGCCAAAGTGCCAACCACCATTTTACCCTCAAAAGTGTGGCACTATTTAAAGATCAATCCCGACTAATGATTCGAATGTCGAAATATAATATGATTCGTCAATATGATACGAAATTTAAAGAGTTTGAATTTTTTTTTTAAGTCATCCGTTTCTTAAACCAATGAACATGTGCAACAAGAGTAATAAATAAATCGGATATGAATACGACTGTCAATGGATCAGATCTTGATCCGTCAAGCTTCAAATTCGATAAAAAAATTCGAGTACTGAATTCGATCCGTTTATCAGACAAATTTCAAGAATTATAATTCATATTCATATCCTTTAATAATCGAATATCCATTTCGATTATCCGATCCGATCTAAAAATTTGAATCCCAATAATAATCATGGACTTAGATTCAAATTAAAATCCGCTCTATTGACAAGCCTAGCTATGAGTAAAACTAATCAAAAAAAAATAAAAACACAACACGACACGACTTATTTATATATCAATTATATACGATTTACACAAAATACGAATATAATATAACATAGTTCTTTAAACACGAATTAATAAACGAATTGAGTATAAGTAAAATATTTTTTAATACAATCCTAAGATTCAACACAAACTTATGTCACCTGACATAATTGATAAGCCTAAGTAAGGGTATTATGGTCAAATCAGATATGTTAATCCCATTTGTTATTACCAATGCCAAAAAATGACTTTGTCAAGAAATTCATTTGTTTGCTTAGAAAAATATAAAAATAGAACATTGTCCTTGGTCCGGTCAACGGAATCAAATTACTAAGAAATTACCGTACAAAGTTGAAAGTCTTGACTTCTATCGTTAACTAAACAATTTAGAGAGAAAATCAGAAAAGTTTTCCCAGAACCTCTCTCTCCTTATTAATTATTATATAATATAAAAAATTCGACGATCTTAATACGTTTATCCGACGATCTCAAATAAATTCATCTAACGATTATTAATATTTTTCTTAAACTTAGTCACAGTACATCATACTTTCGACCACATTCAAATTGTATTAAAATTTAACAATGTAATTAAATCAAAGGCATATAGATGGAAAGAGATTGACAACAAAGCCGAGTGGATTTATGGATGGGAATGTGACGTATTTGGGCAGTGGCAGTTAGAGATAATCAACGATTCCTAGTTAATCGAAATTTTAATATTTTAAAGTGATTTATAATGATTTGAAATGTTTTATACTGTTTCAATGTATTTATTTTCAGATATTTTGATCAATATTTTTAAAAAATAATTTTTAAATTTTTTATTTTTGTCTTTATATTTCAAAATAGATTGACACATTTTCGAAACATGTCACAATATTTATATTCAAAATAGATTGATACATTTACGAAAACATGTCACAATATTTATGTTTCTTAAGTGACCAAAACAACATAGAGCAACGAAATTTTGATACAGGGATCCGGTAAATACCTATTCTACTTTCAGTTACAAGTGAACAACAAGACGGTAGTTAAAAAGCTAGAGTTTTTTCAGTTTCTTGCAAGAAAACACAACACATTTTGCAATTATTTTCCTACATTTTCTTGGCAATCAAACGGGATCAAGTAGAAAGATCCAGCAGACTTACCAAATGTTGCCCGAGAATTCACCGAGATCTCGTACCGCACAGCACCATAAGCCACCCGAACCCGAACATTCGGAGCGAGAACATCCGAGTTATCACCTCTCTTCTGCACCAACATTCCACCGGGCCTCATCTCCCACTGTACCCCTTCATCTTCTTTAGACGTCGACGGCGTCGTTGTGGCCGCAGTGTTGCTCGTTCTTCCGTTCAAGTTCAGTCTTGTCTTGATCATCTTTGCTGTAATGAATTTTCCCGGAAAGTTCAATCGGCGAGAAAATAAGGAAAAGATAATGTGGGTTTTCCTGCGATTGTTCTATTTTTATTGCCGGGAGAGGAATACCTACAAGGGACACCCAATAACTAACAAACCATTTTCTGCCGACACAAAGAAGCTGTACATGTTGGTCGTAGCTCGTGCTTGTGGGGGACTTACTTTATACATGGGGTTGGATTTGTGAGTGTCTGTGTGTGTTTTTTGTAGCATTTTTTGCTGTATGTTTTATAAATTTGGTCCAAAATTATTAATTTGATTTTTAAAATATTAATTCGTGTTCAAATAGTCTTTATACAGATAAATCATTAAATTTTTGTCAAAATAATTACGTTTTGGTCACATGATACTGTTTAAAAGAATGACACATGATCACTTCTATCAAAAAATTTAATGAATTATTTGACTAGGGGTCAAACTGACATAAATTAAACCTTTAAGAATTAAATTGACAAAATTAAACAATAAGAACCAAACTAATAAAATGGACATAACCAAAAGTTCTATTAACCTTTTTTTTGATAAATTTTTTTGGGCCCTTAGCACTTTGTACCTTGAAAATATTTCAAAAATTTTATTTTATACCCTAAAATATTAAATTTTTTATATTGTATCGTTAATGTATTAAAAGTATTGGAAGATAATTTTTTTGTTAGTTTCCGTTATTTTCTTCTTCAAAAACCAACTCATTGACATGGAAGAAAAAATTAATGGAAAGTTAACAGAAGAGCTGCATTGCAATACTGTTAATACATTGAAGGTATAATATGAGAAATTTAATCTTTAATAGTACAAAATAAAAATCTTAAAATCTTTCAGAGTCTAAAATATAATTTACCCATTATGTTTTAAACTTACCCTTTTGTTTTAAAATAAATTTTAAAATTTAAATTATCTCTATATATAATTTTTCAACTATTATTTTCGTGTTAATAAATTTCTTTCGTCCATTTTATTTATTAGATTAGATGGAGGCAAACCTATGTATTTACCATGTGATTGTGGCAAACCTATGTATTTTATCAAGTGATTGTCCATATCTTCTGCTGCCTTCTTTTGTTCTAATGAATGAAATGGACAAAATGATCTTATTGAATTGAAATTAATAGTTTGAGGGATTAAATTAAACTTTTTTTTTTGTGGGTGTAAGTATGGAGTGGTTTATGTGTATGGTATGCCAGTCAATAGTTTTCATTTGAATTGGAATCTGACAAAAGTTAAGTGCCAATGTGTGTAGTGGGTTTCTGTCTTCTTCTTGTTTATGTGGTGACAGCTTAGCAGACATTGCCGACACTCCAAGAAACATCCAATGGCAGTATTGGTGTTTTGCTTTTGAGTAAGAGTTTCATTGGCCCAAATGGAATTGTTTTATATTTGGGTAATTTGTAGGTTTACCAACCATACTTGAACTTTGAAAATTTAATTTGAGGATGTAACTATTATAATTACTAGACCACCTCTGTTTAAAATTAGATTTAGGCGACGGTGTGTCTCAATGGTCAAGACCTATTCCCATCCGCTTATAGTTGTGAGTTCTGACTTCATCTATTTTTCTCTCTACAGCAACCCAAGAAACAAAAAAAAAAAATTGAAGTGAGATAAAAACAAAATTCTCATTTTGAGGGGTCTAATGAATTAAATTCCTAAATTATAAATGTATAACATTTCTTGTAGTTTGTAGTTATACATCTCACCTACTTATTCAAATCATCCACTAATTGTTTAAAGAGAGGTTAATAGACAATGGAGATGTATACACTACACAGGTGAGATTTTGTTAGAACGTTACTTTTATCACATACTAGTGTGCATTGCAAGTTAATGTTATTGTTACAAAAAAAAAAAAAAAACCTAGGTTAATACTATGTGTAACGAATATAGTTTATATATCTCTACTAAATATGTAAATACTTTATTTGTAGAATCCATAAAGTGTTATATATTTATAAAACACTATACAATTCAAACCTGACTATGCATGAGAAAAAAGAAAAGAAAAGAAAAGAAAAGAAAATTTTGTGACTGAGATTGATTGTTTGTAGCGAGCCTCGGAGATTTAGATAGTAGGTAATTAAAATTTGAATGATTAGGATTAATCTCAGTTTGCACCTTCAATGTTATAAATTTGTAGCAATGTGAACCATATTCAGACAACCATTCAATTTTTCGTCATAAATTAAAACACGTGAGTTGTAAATGCTTCGCACATAAGCTTATGTGTAAATTCACATATTGTTAGCGCTCGTGTGAGTTACACATAATAGAATTAGCCTTTATTTGATTAATGAAACTCTATTTTTGATACACAAAACAATGTCAAATTAATCGTTGACAAAGATCTGCAGCAACGGACATACCTCGTCCTAATGCCCGAAACACTTGTATTTCACGTGCTTTAATTTATAACGAAAAACTGAACGACAAGATTAGGTCCACATTGCTATCAATTCATAATATTTGAGAATATAAATTGTTATTTTTAATGTTTGAAAGTACAAATTAAGATTCGAAATATTTTTTGAGATGCAAAATGAGATTGTCCCTTATAATTCAAACTCATTAAGGGTAAATCTTCACTTACGAAATCTTGTGTAGGTTTGTGATTAAATTTGATGTATAGTATTGAGAATTAGCCAAAAATATCCAGCGGGAGTAAGAGGTTTTGTGACTGAGGTTTGGTTGGTTAGGTTTGGTATGGGTAAATTTGGGTTTGGCTTTGCTTAACTGCCCTTGCCGGATGGAAAGTTCTTTAATTTGTGTGGAAAGTAAAATGGTCACACGTTGCAGGGAGATGAGACCCACTAACAATAATCTCGTATCTGATTTAAAAAAAAAGAATGAATTTTTAAATTATTGAATTAAAATAAATAAAAATTAGATAAATTTTAATTATTATTATATTTTTATCAGTTGAAAATTTAATTTCTTAGATGTAATAATAGATAGACGGAGTAAGTACAAGTTGAGTCAAATGTCCTCGTCAAAGCCCTTAATGGAGATGAATGGAGTTGACTAGGGGTAATTGTTGGATACTTCCAATGTTTAAGGAGCATTAGTTGCTGCCGTTGCAAGAAAATATTGACAATCACATATCTCTAATTTTTCGGTTAACGTCTTTAATTTAATTGATAGCTATTTATTCCTAATAATAGGTTTGGTGATGATTCACCACATGTTAGTTGAACTACGTTACACCATACTAGATAGCAATACTTCATGTTTTATAAAGTATAATTAGTACATGTCAATTGAATTCAACTTGAACTCATTTTGAAAATTTTAATATGTAAACAAAGTTTTCAATGTTCGGGTTGGATTTGAAAAAAAAAATATCAAACCCAATTTAAATGTGCGGGTTTGATATGAAAAAAATATCAAAACCCAATTTAAATTTGTATAAATACTCGGGTTGGGTCACGATGAATGTTATGTGTGCCCTTTTGTTTATCCCATAGGTATGCTTTTGTTTAAAATTTGTCTTATATCGATGCAATATCACTCCCAAGCTAATATAAGAATTAATGCTAGTTTTTTATTTGAGTAATGCTAGATGGACTTAAAAATTAGACTTGATAATCTCAATCATTGAATAGGTAGTGGGTCTCAATAAATGCTGGAGCCCATAGTAAAATCAATGATTGAGATTATCAAGTTTACTTTTTAAGTCCATCTAGCATTGCTCTTTTTATTTATTGCTAATCGATTTTAAGTTAGGTGTTTTAGTATTTTCTGGTAAGTCGTTACTTACATTCTAGTTACATAGCCAGCATACTGTTAGTCTCTCTCTCTCTCTTCCTTCTCTTCTCTCTTAACTATGGGAAAAAACTAAGGGTTAATTGTAAGTTGTACTCCGAAAGATAGTTTGAATCTCAATTTACACTCTCAAAGATAAAAATTTGTATCAATGTGCACTCTCAAAGATAAAAAATCTTAATTTACATTCTCAAAGATAGAAATTTGTATCAATGTGCATCTAAAACTAAATTGATAAATTATATCTAGATCCTCTCATGCTTGTCACTTAATCATTTGAACTCATTTACATTTAGAATATTACTCATACATCTCATGACATTTGTGCACGTGTAATACGTAATCCTTTTTCGTTGATATATGTTAATACAATCGTTAAAAAATATGATTTTATCATAATAAAAAATTATAATTTCATATTACCCTTTATTTTGTAGGTCCGATATACTCTAAAGTTCAAAATCAAACATATCATTTGAATATCCAATAGAATGTAGATATTTATATAACATTTTTTATATATAATGCAATATATCACTCAATGTGTAACCCTTTATTCTATTAGACATTCAAATGGTAAGCTTGATTTTGAATTTTATAGTATATTAGACCCATAAAATAAAGGGTAATATGAAATTATAATTTTTTATTATGATAAAATCATATTTTTCTAATAGTTATATTAACAGATATCAACCAAAAGGGGTTATATGTTACACGTGTACAAACGTCATAAGATGTATGAGTAATACTCTAAATGTGAAGGGGTACAAAATGATTAAATGACAAGCATAAGAGATCTAGGTATAATTTATCAATTTAGTTTTAGGTGCACATTGATACAAATTTCTATATTTGAGAGTGCAAATTGAGATTTTTTATCTTTGGGGGTGCACATTGATACACATTTCTATCTTTGAAGGTGCAAATTGAGATATTTGATCTTTAGGGGTGCACATTAATACAAATTTCTATCTTTGAGGGTGTAAATTGAGATTCAAATGATATTTCAGGGTGCAATTTACAATTAACCCAAAAACTAAAGGTCTTTTATTTGAATGTTGGAACCCATTTAAGGAATGCATTAAGTTATTATATGTAATACTTGCTTCCTATGCTTGATGGCAAAGGCTCCAACAACCCCAAAACTTCCATAGAAATCTTACCATTGATTTTACTTGACCTCCTAGGGGCAATTGGTAACAGTTTCAACAAGCCAATAGTCTTTTGTCGTTCAACTCATTAGAAAATTATGACAATGTCAATTGTCATGCCATTACCTAAAGGTAGTAATTATTATGGTTCAATTGGATACCAATTGCATGGGTGTGATCCTAAAATAAATTGAGATAACCTTGACATGGTGGATGAAGGACGATCTCTAATTTCTAATACAGAAGAAAAGTCCGAAGGGACCGGATAAGCACTTAGCTTCTCCCTTCTAAACTTTAAGTCAGTAAGTGAAGTAGGTGTGAGGAAAGTGTATAATGTTTACTTCATGTTATTTCACATACCTGTTTAGTAGTTTGAGGAGGAATTTATAGCTTCATGATGACGTGACAATAACTCAAGTATAAACTTTAGGCCTATCAGCCTATAATCTGTGACCAGTGTAATGAATGTTGTTCCGTCACACCACATTAATGCTAAGTAATGAATGTACTTGACTCCTCCTGACCATTCATCGCTTTGTCCCCTTTGTAGGCATCCAATAGCCTCGAACATCAAGTATACTATCGAAAAGTACCTATAGACTATGTTCAAGCATTTAAGAATATGTGCCGAGTACTTTTTAACATAATCAAGAGTCATACTCCACCTTTGACAGTTAAAAGTAGCTTTTCCTTCATTTGAAGGGATGATATTGATTAGCTTGTCACTTCTGGATTCTACATGAGGCCCGTGTCCCAATGCAAATTAGGAATCATTATTATTTGATGTCAGCTTAGTTTTTCCTCAGCTGCGGCTTTAGGAGGCTCAAACTGATGTTTCTGCAACTCGTGTCACCCAATGACTGACAAATTGTACATATCCCATAGCCGACTAGACTACGGTACATCCATTGAGAATTTCGATACCATACCGAACATCAAAGGGGGGCTAAAAGCTGATTTTGTCACTGCAGAATGATGCAAAAATTGACACGTGTAAAGTAAAAGCAAGACAATCGGATGACAACTGGTTACCACAGGAATGAGGGAGTTATATGGAATATTTACAATATTACATGCCAGATTTATAACAATAATGGATACAATAACAAAGATAATGGTAATCTTACAAAGTGAGTGGAACTAAGTACAATGACAATGGTGTATTTACGATATCAGTAAGAAATGTAAAAAATTAATGGGATAGGTACTAAAGTAAAGGTATATTTACAACAAAAGTGAAAAAATTTAGGACTCCACAGCAATGAGTGAGTTACAAATATTATGGAATATTTACAATATTAGTTGCAAGATTTACAACAACAATGGGTACAATAACAAAGATAATAGTATTATTACAAAGTGAGTGGAACCAAGTACAATGACAATGGTGTATTTACGACATCAGTAAGAAATGTAAAAAAAGAATGGGATAGGTACAAAAGTAACGGTATATTTATAACAAAAGTGAAAAATTTACGACTCATAGTCAATGTAATGGATGATCGATCAATATAATATATGATCAATTGAATAAATGTATGATCAATCATTATGTGGAAAAGTGTTGCGTAAGAAAATGAAATTTTGGAAAGAAAGAAATAAATATATAATTTAACCAATCACGAATATGAATGATCGATCGTAGTGGCTCAATAAGGTGTTTTTTTCTAAAAAGCTACGATGTTAACGATATTACTAGGTAAAAATACAAAATTAATGGTATAATTACAACAAGATTGAGAAATGTTGAAATTCAGTGGGATTGCGATCGATCAATTATGTATGATGATCGATCATGGAGGTAATGATGGAGAAGTTGAAGGGGAAGTGGTATTGCGATCAATCAATTATGTATGATGATCGATCATAGAGTTACTGATGGAGAAGTTGAAGGGGAAGTGGGATTGCGATCGATCAAGTATGTATAATGATCGATCATGGAGTTATTAATGGAGAAGTTTATTGGGCCAGTGGTATTGTGATCGATCAATTATGTATATTGATCGATCATGGAGTTACTGATGGAGAAGTTGAAGGGGAAGTGGGATTGCGATGGATCAAGTATGTATAATGATCCATCATGGAGTTACTGATGGAGAAGCTTATGGTGCCAGTGGGATTGTGATCGATCAATTATGTATGATGATCGATCATGCCGTTAATGATGGAGAAGGTTATGGTGGCAGTGGGATTGCGATCGATCAATTATGTATAATTGATCGATCATTGAGTTACTGATGGAGAAGGTTATGGTGCCAGTGGGATTGCGATCAATCAATTATGTATATTGATCGATCATGGCGTTAGTGATAGGGAAGGTTATGGTGGCAGTGGGATGACGATCGATCAATTATGTATAATGATCGATCAAGGAGTTATCGCTGGAGAAGTTTAAGGAGCAAGTGGGATTGCGATCGATCAAAAATAAATAGGATAGATCAAAAGTTGATGTATTTACTTAAATGCCCACAAAGAGTAATAAATTTAAGTGTTGTAAGGGGGGCTTTGTAGTAAATAAACGTCGACTTACCCAAATAAATCCCCAAATTCCACAAAATTACCCCTAAATTGCTCGCGCCTTCCATGCTCATTCAAAATCCCTTCCAAATTCGACAATACCCATTTCAAACCCATAAAAAATCGTATAAAATCCATTGAAAATTCATTCCAAATCCTACAAAACTCATTCAAAATCTCCCAATTCCATAAACCCTAAATTGCCCACCACCCCAAATCTCTTTCTTCGATTGATTGGGTACACAAACTACTTCGCTCGATCAAACTACTTCCATTGTCAATCTTCCATTTTCAATCTTCATTCGGAGAAGAGTGAAAATTTGCATTGTGAATGTTCGTTGTGAATCTTTGTTGAAGAAGTGTGAAAGAACCACATTTGGAGCTGTGGTGATGTCGGTGGAGAGGCGAAGAAACGGAAGAAGGTGGTTAGCGGGGGGAGTTCTGGGAATGCCAAACTCTTTGTGGATAAAGATGCTAAGAAGGGGTATGATTCATTCATTGTTAAACGTCCTCTGTTAATTGAGCGTGGTGTTTACCTTGATGAGCTAGTAGGGAGGGTGGATTCCCTTGAAATACTTCGGGCTCGAAAATGGGAACCTTTGTGTGATGTGAATGTGGATGATAAAGCATATGTTGAACTGGTTAAGTTTTTTTATGCAAATGTTCATGAGTACAATGAGAATGAGCTGACATTTAAGACACTGGTTAGGAAGAAATCCATCACTGTTTCACCTGATTTTATTTCAAATATATTAAAATTTGATAGACCAGACATTCCTAAGAATTCCATTGTCTTTCAATATTCAAGGAAGGAGCAGGCTCCTGAAAATGGCAACGGTTATTCAACGTATTTGTATTGGGAGTGTCTCTTGGGAGAATGAGAAAAATAAAATTGTTCACATTGACCTTACTCGAACGTATAGGATGATAAACCGAATTGTTGCTTGTAATATACATTCGAGGGGGCATACTGCTGAGATTAGATAGGATACGACCCAACTATTATATGTTATTGCGGAAGGTGAGGTTATTATTGATCTACCCCTTTACATATTCAACCATGTTCATGAAGCATCAACTATTGAGGATGGCAGGCCATGACTTCCATTTCCAATATTAGTTTCCAAGATTTTGAAGCATAGTGGGGTTGAATTTCAGTAGAATCACAGTTTTATTTACCCCATGAATCCAATGGGTATGGGTACACTTAATAAAAGTGTGGGAGCTATTTTGGGTGTGAAATGGGACAAGCGTGTGAAGCAGGCAGCAACGATGCCTCATGTTGTGGGTAGTCAAGCTGGGACTAGTCAAGTTGGTTCTGATGCTGGCACTAGTGAGGGTCGACAAACACTTCAGCAAATGGTTGAAAAGTTGGAGGCCCGATTTGAAAAGTTTGAGAATGAAATGAAAGGGTCGTTGCAACGTCTGGAGTCAAAATTAGATTATTTTTATAAGGACTTTAAAGAGTACATCAACAAATGACACATTGGTTTTGTGTATTTTTTTTTTTGTGAATCTTTTTTTTTATAGTTATATTTGGCATTTTGGAAAGGGTGTTGTAGATGTTGGGTGGATGGTTGTTAAATATATTGGCTAGTAGTTAGAAACGTTGACATGTTGTAGCTGATTTTTTGGCCTATATTGCTGTTCAGATGGAAGCATTTATTGAGTTATCTTCTCATGCCAGTCTGGCAGAGTGATTCTTCATCAGGATCAGTTTGGACTGGGTACTACAAGGAAAATGAGACTTGTGGTTTGTGACCAAAGGCAAGGATTTGGATGATGGAGGAGAGGTTAGAATGGTTGATGGAAGCCTGGGCAGTTGATCTGATTAGTCTAGTATGTGTCTGGGGTGATAATGTGTTGAGCATGGGGTCTTGTTTGTGGTTGGAGGATAAGTTGCTTTGAGCCTTTTGAAGGATTAAAACCAACTTTTGTAATGATTTATATTCTTCCAGACTGTGTGGGCAAGTTTTATGTTTGGGCAGTTGGTGTATAGAGCTGAGTCTTGGTTTTTTATTTGAACTGGATTGCATTGGTCTGTTTATGATGGATTTTGTATTTTCTGGTGGATTGACTTTGAAGATAGCTGTTGGGATGCTGATGAGGAGGGTTGGTCCTGGTCTTTATGCTTGGCTGCTGGACTGGTTTGCTGTTTTGCTTTGTTTCAGTAGTTGTCTGCTATTCTGGCAAACTGTTGTTGTGAGCTGGGCTGTTACCAAAGGTGCAGGAGCTGAGTTTGGATACGTAGCAAACCAGCTGGGACTGAATGGGTGTTGTACTGGTTTGTTTCTAATCTAAGGATTCTGCATTAAGAGCTGGACTAAAGATTAGAAAACACAATTTTGTAGCTTAAAATGGTTTTAATCATCTTGAAAGATTACATCTATTTTTGAAATTTGTAGAACTGTTTGTTCTTTGCTTCTTGTAATTACTTCTTTGATCAATATATTGTCAAGAAAAGTAGTACAAAGCACATGTAGTCGTACTCACCTAAAAAATGTTTAAAGAAGTATTAATCTATTGGCCGTGCACAATTGAATCAAAAGCAGAGATCTTATTATTATTACTTTTTTTAATCACAAGGGAATTTTATTTATTCATAATACAAAATATTGACACAAAACAAAGGAAAAGGCACAGACGCCCATCCATACCCAATAAAAGACAAAAACTAACAATGCAAAGCATAAAATACACAAACAATCGCGACATGTCGTAGGTTGCATGGTATAGAGTTCACTGTAATACTAAAGCTTGGAGAAAGCATCGGAGACAGGATCATCTTGACAACAAACATTCCACAATCATATCCATTTTGCTGACGTGGGGCCCAAGACGGAGCCGACAAAGTGAATGTTCCCAAAAAAAGTTGGTAGTTATCCTGTGTAGCTTCAAGAACATCATCTAATTCAAATAACACATTATGCACAACATTCATTCGAATAGATATATCGTCACAAGGAAGGGGGTCCAACAAAAGAGCTTTCTGTTCAGTTACATCAATGACGCAAAGATACCAATGAGAGTTTTTTTCGTTCATCGGGATGTATATCTAAATTTGTTTACACAGACAAACCATGATGATAAGCATGAATCAAAATAACTAATGTTAGGTCGTTCAAATCAAAAGTATTAACTATATGGTTAATACACACCTTCTCAAAGTATGTAAAATCTTTTATGTACTTCCCACTCATAGCACACATAAAATGCAACAATATTTTTTTCATTTCACTGTTACCCACAACCCGACACAGTGCCTGTTGCTAAATACAACAAACAAAATTATAATCAACAAATTGTATGTAATTTTTTTAAAATTAAAATAAGGTTATACAAATAAACATATTTTTATTACCGAGAACCACGTGGGTAGGTACCACCTCTCTAATCTGGTTTTTGGATTGATCTTATCTTCCTTAGCTAAAAAATTATGGGCCAAGTCCACAACCTGTTACGGTCATAGGAAAATACCAAAGTAAAATTCAATTGGTTTACGTTATTGTAATTAAAAAAAGAAAAATATATTGGTTGAAAAACATCAAATTTACCAACCGAATCAAGTAACCACTGCTTTGGTAATAATGTCATGAGGGAATGACGTCCAACATGATTATGTTCAAACCTAATTACAACCTCTCTGTTTTAAAAAAAAAAAATTCCATCATACTACTATTTTCGATCACATATTAATACATATTTTAAAATGTATCAATGTTTACATTTAAAATAAATATACCTATTGTCAAATATGTAATTCAAAATCAATTGCTTATCTTCAGGATAAAGTATGTCTACATTTTCATATTCCTCAACGTGCTCTGGAATACCCAAAGTAGAAACTGAAAGCTGTGTACGAAATGTGTGACATTAAACTACCATTCAAGTTTGTCACATAATCAACAATGGAAAAAATCAGACCTTAAGAATTTCAGCAACTGATGCACTATTACAAGACAATTTCAGTTTGTTACCAGGATTGTGCAGAGTCTTGTACACATCGATTGATGCCTTGTTGTCATAATAATTCATGTCATAACAGCCCTGTGCACAGAGAAATTGAACATATGACTATAAAAAAAATTGGATAGTAATAAACGGTGTCATAACCTTATGCATTCCCACTATATGCATGGAATTGTCCAAGCTTGGTTGAATGTGATCCGGGGGATTATTCACCTCCCCCTTGCCCTCTTTCTTATCATCCTTCTTCACCCAACGATGTTGTAGTTGAAGGGAGTGAAGTATAAGTGAGGATAATGTATAATGTAATTAATACATTAAGTTTGATGTANACTGTAGTTGAAGGGAGTAAAATATAAGTGACGCTAATGTATAATGTAATTAATACATTAAGTTTGATGTATGTTATACCTTTGGCTGTTCATATGGTGAAATCACATATTTGCTTGGCCTCCTTTTAGAATCTCTTCTTAGCTGCATTGGTGGGAATGACGTTTGAGTGCATGAGTTAGAAGCCTCTTGCATGTCACCAACGTTATTATGTTTGTATTCGTCATTGCTAGAATTCAATGGACGTCGCCATGCCTCTTGGAATGGTTTTGGTGGTGGGGTGCGGACAACGGCAATGGGTGTCCAAATCCGGTAGTCCACATCCTTCATCACGGGAGTTGGCATTTACATTTTCATTCAAGTCAATTTTATTTTTTCCTCAACAACTACTCCAACAGCAGCATCATTGTCCATCTGTTGGTAATTTGATGTTTTAGGAAACGATCCACCCATGAACATTTGCATCCTGATAACCATTGAGCCCACCATGCTAGTTAGATTAACAATCGCATTCTCCATCCTACACATTCTGGCCTCCCATTCCTACACATTTAGACAATTCATAACATGGCAAAAACAATTATACATCAATGTGATATCAGTATCATGGTATATACGTACTGGAGGTTTTTCATCTGATGTCAAACTAGTTGGCTTCACTTCATTGGTGGATCGTTTACTATTGTGTACTGTATCAACTGGTGGGGGTCTATTTATGGTGTCATCAAACAATTTGCAAGTAACTTCTTGACGCCCTAGTCATTTGGACTTATTCAACATGCTTACATGTTTCTTAATTTCCTCAACCCCCCACGCAGCTATTCGAGGGTTGCTCCTACAAGGTGGTTGTTTAACAAACCCCCCTTTGGGTGTGACCCGCTCCAGATATAATATCTACATTAAATAATTAAAATAGGTAATTCAATAAAAGTGTTGTGAAAGAAGCACAACATAAAAACACTAAAAAAATAAATTCATGCCTTACCATAAGAACAAGTAAACATCTACTAACATTTTTCTGATCATGTGTTTGATATTTTCGTATCCCTTCAACCATACCATTAAATACAAATTTCGCCCAATTTCTCTACCCTATACAAGGAACGTCTATGATAGTGTGAAGATACCCGCTGCTGATTGAAGTACGCATGGTTGGGTATAGAAGATGTCCAATAAGAAATAGCACAAAATATATTCTAAACTCATCCGAAGCCACTTTAAGTGCACAAAGTTTCTCATTCACTTGTCTCAACGGGATATCCTTAACTCCATTGAACAATGAATTCCAAATGCCATTAATTCTTTCACTAGGCCCAATAGTCTCCACGTCCAACCCTTCATTTCTCAAGCCCATGACACATTCTATATCCATGGCTGATAACTGAATAGCTTCACCGTAGACATTTAATGTCAATGACACAGTGTCGAACCGTTTAATCAACCATGACATAAACATCGCTTCAGTTCACCACATCTGCGGCCCAATATCCCCTCAAAACCAAGTTCTTTTATTGTAGCTTTCTGCTCATCACCTAAATTTCGTATCATTTTTACAATTTTCCCAGGTGAACACCTTGTACCAAGCATCCCCTTTGATAATTCATCAAAACATAGACATAAATCTCAGTTGTAGAGGTGCAGTAAATGTAAACCATGCACATAAAAGTAACATCAACATTATATTTTTAGCCGAACTGTCATTTCCCTAGAATTATCTTTCACACGATCATATTCACTCTTTGCATGTTTAGACATTTCTCTATATTTATGTTTCTCACTATCTGCCATCTTCCTCCATTGGTCAACCACTTGTTTAATGACCTTATGAGTACAAGTTCAATTGGAAGACATTATTAATTTCACTATTCCAAACAATACTAGCTATTTGTAACACAAATTACACCTCGTGTGTTACTTTTTTATTAGCGTTTCCTTTGATATTCTCCATTTGGTCCTTACTGTAATGCAAGTACAACAAATTGGCACATTATCACATTAACATTAACCACAAAATAATTTCACACTACACTACACTAAGTATTCATACTAGAAAAATAGTCATGCACCCAGTGGACGTTGGGCTTTCAAGCCTTTGGCCTTTGACTCCTGGGACCTCTTCTTCCCCCTGGAATATGTACCATATTATGAAGTCTACAATGTGATGAATCTGAAATATATTCCACAATATAATCATATCTTACATTACAAATATCGTCAAATTGGACTTCCCAAGTCTAGAGGCTTCCTACTACCCTGCAAATAATACATGGTCTATAGATCAAATAAATAAGAATATGGTACACATAAACTTCTCTAAACCATTCACAAATCCTTTCCATATACACTCACTCACCAACACATTCATTCACAACTATAAAATGAATACCAGTATGTAAATGTTTGTAGGTATGACACACACTGAGATGTCAATGTTTAGAAAACATACAATTTATAAAAAATAACATTTCACATATTCAAACCTAATTTTATAATACCTTATTATGTATCTCCTCTTGGTCCTTAATCACAACAACCCGATACTAAGACCATGTGTTGGAGTAGTGTACACACTTCTACGTAGACAAAAACAAACCTATTTGTGAATAATGAAATGGGATACTTATTAACTCAAACCCATATTGCAAGAAATAAATGGATTGTGATGTAGACGGGATAGGATGAATAGGGGAGAACTGCTTTTTTTGGAAGATAGAAAGAAGAGACCAGTGAGCTGAATGTTAACAAGATGGAGGGAGCTGGGTAATGGTTTTTGGCGGGATTAAGAGGGAATTGGTGTAGCTAGCTGTCAGCAACTAATTGGTTGGTATGGAATACGTCACTTGGACCCGCCTGACAAAAATAAAATTTTTTTTGATTGATCAAACAAATACACGATCAATCGAATAGTTCCAGACTACTACATTTATATCGCTAATATGGGGGGGGGGGATTGAACAACCATTATTCTACTATACCAACACCTCTACATTGATCTATCACAAAAT